GGATTTGAACCCAGGTCTTTGAATTTGAGAGATATTTTGAAGGTCTGGGAATTGGGATATTGTGATACTCTTTATGTATAGCCCTGGGTGGGAGGAAGGGAATTTGGTGTACTATGCTGAGTTTTGGGGGGAGATGGGGAGGGGGAGCCTCAGGACTGATCAGCATCAAGCGGAGTGGGGTACTTGTTCAGTCATTTCACTCATATCTGATTCTTCATGACCCCATTTTCTTGGCAAAGATTCCAGAGTGGTTTGCCATTTCCTTCTCCAGCTCATTTGACAGATGAGGAAACTGAGGCAAACAGGGTTAAGTGACTTGCCCTAGTATGTGTCTGAGGTTGGATTTGAACTCAGGTCTTTCTAACTCCAGGACCAGTACTCTATCCACTATGCCACCTAGCTGCCCAAGGGGTGGGATACAACCTACTATAAATGAGTTGCTGGAGAACTCAAGGGAGGGGTTGGGGGCAGATGGCTAAGATGCTGGGCAGCTGCTTTGTCTGAGGCATGGGATAACAATCAGCATCTGAGGGTTGCCCTCTTCAGGAGGAGGAAGAACACTTAAAGTTGCCCTGGATAGGAAATGCTCAATGCCCTTGCCATCTTCTACAGAATGTTAAAACTGGAAAGAACCTCAGAGATCCTCCAGATCCTTCTTTTGCAGAGGAGTGTGACTTGCCCAAGGTCATACTAGAGAAGCTCCTTCTGGTGTAGTGGAAAGAAGGCTGGGTGTGGTATCCAGAAACCTGAATTTGAATCCTGCTCTGACCTCTGGGCCTATCTCTGAGCCTCAGTGTTCTCATCTGTAAAATGAGGTGATCACAGAATCATAAAAGGTGGAGGGCACCTCAGAGGTCAGCCCCTTCATTTTACAAATGAGGAAACTGAGGCCCACGTGCCCAAGGAGGCTGAGGGAGTAAGTGGCAGGCAGGATTTGAACTGGGGTCTAGGGCTCGCTCCCTGTTATACCTGCTGCTTACCTCAAAGTATTGTGGTTAAGAAGTCACTTTGTAAATCTCAAGTACCAAAGAAATGTTGACTATTATTTATAATTCTGGTTAGTGGCAGGGCTGGGGCTTCAATTGAAACATGGAGTCTTAAAGGTGGAAGAAACCTCTAGAGCCATCAAATTCACCTCTCCTTGGAGGGAGAACTTCCCTGCCCCTTCCCCAACTACAGACTTCCCTTAGTTCTGCCCTCAGGCATCAAGCAGACCAAAGCTAATCCCACCTTGGAGTGTCAACCCTTCACATACTTGAAGACCAATGATATGCCCGCTGTGGACTCTTTAGGCTCTGCTGCCCACCAAAGAAGAGTCCAGGGCCTCAACTTCTCATCAAAGGATCATAAGATTTCAAGCTGCAAGAACCCTGAGAAATCATCTAATCCAACCTCTTCATTTTGCAGATGAGGCAGCTGAGGCCCAGAAAGGCTAAGTACCTTGCCCAAAGTCTCCACGGTTGCAGAGCTGGGCCTGAAATCCCCCTGTGTTTCTTCCTTTAATCCAGTGCACAGCCAAGGAGATAGCAGTCAGTCAAACTGACCCTAGGCAGGAAACAGCCCAATCCCTTACTTCCCTTCCCATTTGACTCTGTCCCTCTTCCTCCCCCCCCCCCACACCATATTTCCTTTGGGGATGGGAGTGGAAAGGGTCTCTGCCACTCTCTTGGGCCTGCTCCTAAAATAGCCCAAGAGAGAGGATGACTGTGCTCCTATTCCCTTCCCCTAAGAAGGGAGGGCTAGGAGCCAGGCAGGAAGTGGGACCAGGGCTCTGAGTGTTTGTCCCAAGTGGGGAGGGAGGTGTATTACCTCAGATAACCCCGTAGCCCCATGCTCTGGGGGGATGGACAGGGCTCCTTGTCCCTCCTCCAAAAGAGCATTCTATTTTACTGCTCCCATTGAAATAAGATAACCCCTCATATTCAGAGGAATACATACATATATACCATATGGTATATGCATATTATATATTACACATCATATGTGTATGTATATATGTTATATATCTATTACATATTACATAATGTATATATTACATTATATATGTGTTAAGGGTCACATATACTTACACGTCTGCATAGGAGATGTGTGTGTGTGTGTGTGTGTGTGTGTGTGTGTATTACCCACAGAATTTCAGGTGTAGAAGAGACCTCAGAGATAAACTAATCTATGAGGCCTGAAAAAGAGACTTTGACCAAGTCACTTCTCGTTTCTGGGCCTTGTTTTCCCCACCTGTCAAATGAGAGAATTGATTTGTAAGATCCCTTCCAGGCCTAAATTTTATGATCTCCTGATCACAAGATCTCAAGTAAGAAGCAGAGGCAGGATTTGAACTTGGGTTTCCTGACTAAATCTAATACCCATTTTTCTAGCACTTAGCAGTTTTCAAAGCTCTCTCATTTTTCTATTTCCATTGCACCCTCACAACAACCCTGTGACTACCCAGTAAGGTGTATGTAGTGGACAAAATTCTGGATCTGGAGTCCAGAAAACCTGGTTTCAAATCCCATCTCTGCCACATTATCTGTATGACCTTGGACAAGTAACTTAATATCCCTGGGCCTCAGTTTCCTCACCTGAAACATGAGATTAAACTAGAGGACATTTAAGGCCCCTTTCTAGCTCTAAATCTATACTCTAAGATTTGTTGAGACCTTACTATTATGGTAACCCATGCCTCAGAATTGGAAAGTCTCAGGTTTACCCTGGTAATATCTGAATGTGGCTCATTTGTAGCTTTCCCCAAAGGGCCCTCAGCTCCCAGGCAAGCATTGTTCTTCCAAGGCATGAAACATAGAATAAGTTTATCACATAACAAAGAATACAGGAAGGAGGCCTACCCTAGTCTTTAGATAGTCAAGAAAACATTTCCTTCTTGTGATCCCCACATCCTCCAAGGGCTTAGCTAGTCACTCTGAGTACCATCCTGGGGTTGAGGCTTCTTCTTACAGGAAAATAATTTAAAGTTGTGAGGAAGTCAAATAGCTGATGCTTTTGGCAAACTCTGCCTCCCCCAGGGTCCTATAGCATCATTCCACACTTATAACACAACCCTGGAAGTGAGGTTTCTCAAAGTGGGGAAAAAGTCAGAGTTAATAGACAGTTGATCTGCCTCACCTAGATCTTCACAGTCCATATGACTCACAGTACAGGTTAAGGGCACATTCTTCAATCATCAGGTTACTGGGCCTCCTTTTGGTCCTAAGGTCCTGGATTCCCTGCCCTCAGCATCTCTCTGTTGCCTCATAGCCACTGCCTCCAGATAAGGACTGTATTGCCTGTGTGGATCTGTTTTTAATAATAATAGTTAGTATTTACATAGCACTTTAAGGTTTGCCAAGAACTTATCTTAACTTAAGGCAAATGTTATCTCTCTTATCCTCACAACAACCCTGGGAGGCTGGTGCTATTATTGTCCCCACTTAAGCTAAGTGATTTGCCTAATGTCACACAGCTAACATTTTTCTAATGTGGGATTTGAACCCAAGGTCTTTCTGACTATTGTTCTTTATCCAGCCTACCACTCAGCTGCCTTGTGGGTTTTTTGGTCTGTTTTGCCCTGTCTTGGCCTGCCCTGAGTCTTGGAAACTCAGTTGCTTGACCACCCTACTCCAGCTCCTTTTTCTAGCCAGGTTTTCTTCATCAGGACAGTGTTTTACTGCTTTCAGAGTAAGATAGCTGGGGTGTTAGGGAGTCAGCAACCTCCCAGTGGGCCCTCTTGAGACTGGGGAAGAAGGAATACTCACCCCCACCTTTCTTCCGTTTCGCCTGTCATTCCCCTCCCCTACTTCTCCCCTGCTAGAGCTTAAGCCATGCAAGTTGAAGAAATAAGGAGGCAGAAAGGGGAGGAACCCAACTGCAGAAGAGGAGGAATCCTGGTTGAAGCTGGGGTCTGGCCCAAGAGTCTGTCCACAGCTAAGTGCCCTGTGGGCTGTGCTGCCCGGGAAACGGCTTGGGCTGTTCAGAGAGAGACTGAATCAGCTTGAGGTGCCACAGAGGGGTTGGATTAGGTGATCTCAGAAGTCCCCTCCAGGTCTGAGATCCTATGATGTACCTGGGTCCTGGTCTCTTTCTCATCCCCCTCCTAAACTGGAATAGGGGGATTAACTTCATTCAGCAGAATGGTGGAAGAATAAAAACAACAATAACTTATCTTTATTTAGCACTTTTGTCACAACAGCCCTATAGGTTAGGTAGTATGAAAATCAGACCCACTATACAGGTGAGGAGACTGAGGTTCAGACAAGTTAAATGATTCAGAATGACACTATTTTAAGTTAAAAGATCCCTAAAAAGTTATGGAACCCTGCCCCTCCCCCCTCATTTTACAGAGGAGTAAACTGAGGCCCACAGAGAAGAAATGATTTGTCATGTAGCTAATGTCAGTGTTTGAGGCAAGATTCATCCTTTTTAATCAAAAAGAGGAAGTGTGACTATCTATAGCAGAAAGAGCACTGAAGCTGGAGTTGGGATCCAGCTCTGGTGCTTGCTCTTGGGTCCTGGACAAGTCCCTCTCTGGGCTGAGGCCTCCTCATCTGTAAAATGGGTGCAAGCATTTATTAAGCAGTACTCTGTGTCAGGCACTGTGCTAGGCAGTGAGGATACAGAGACAAAAATGCTACCCTCAGGCAGCCCTCTCTACCTTCAGAGAGTTACATTGTATCAGGAGAAACAAATGTGTAGATATAAAAATATACAAAAATACATACAAAATAAATTTGTCCAGTGGGGTGGGAGATACCAGCCATTGGGGGTTCAGTCCAGGTGAGGCCTTGAGCTGAGTTCTGAAGCAGTGTGCACATTGCCTGCCTCACCAGGATAAGGATGGTGTTTTGTGAGCCATAAAACACCATATAAGCGTAAGTCGTTATTTACTGAGCTCCTGCCCTGTGTGTGAGCAGCACAGGGAGAGGGCCAAAGTCATCTGGGAGTTCCTACGTGAGGTACTGAGAGGGAAGAGGAAATAGTGTCTGAAAGCAGCCTTCTCTCTTAACTTCCAGCTTGAAGACTGTGCCCTGCAAGTATCCCCATCTGGATATTACCTGGACCTGGATCTGTCCCTGGAAGAGCAGCGTGACATGTTAGATGACTTCTATGAAGAGATTGGGTTGGTGTTAACCTCCACCCTAGGGTTGTGGGGGAGAAGGAGTGAGAGGCTCCAGAGGATATCAGTCCCATCTCAGCTATTTGTCACCTCCAAGATTCCCCATCTTTTCTCAGCCTCTTTCTTCTCCAGCCCCTACCCCAGACCCTTTCCTCTTTCTTCCCACCCCACTCAATCCCATCTTCCCCATTCTCTCTGCTCTTCCTTGGGTGAAACTTGGGGTATGAGCTCTGATCCCTAATCACTGTGAGTTCTGGGAAGGCGTTATTTAAGGCTTTGTCTCTCTCTCTCTCTATCTCTATCTCTCTGTCTCTCTGTCTCTCTCTCTGTCTCTCTCTGTCTCTCTCTCTCTCTCTCACACACACACACACACACACACACACCCCAAAGCCAGGCTAAGGTTTCATTAGCCTAGACCTCTGATCTCTCTCCCACCCCTGACCTGCTCCCTTGATCCCTCCTGAGGCCCAGGGAGGGCAGAGAACTGACCAGGGAGGGACTCATTCCTCTCCTCATTTACTGCCCTCCCCTAAGGAAACAGTAGTTAGCCACAAACACAAGTACACAGACAAAGAATAACAACATTTCATTAGTGCCTTGAGGTTCACAGGGCACTGAGGCAGTGAAAGTATTCCCGTTCCCATCTTACAGATGAAGAAACTAAGGCCCAGTGGTTAAATGATTTCCTCAGGGTCACACAGCTAGTAAATAAGAAACAAGGATTAAGGGGCAGCTAGGTGGCGCAGTGGATAAAGCACCGGCCCTGAATTCAGAGGACCTGAGTTCAAATGTGGCCTCAGACCAAACACTTGACACTTACTAGCAAGTCACTTAACCCCAATTGCCTAAAAACAAAAACAAAAAAAAGAAAAGAAACAAGAATTAGAAGAGCCTGTTAAGTTACCTTGTCCAAACCTCTTCTTTTTACAGAAGAAGAAACAGGCCCAGAGAAAAGTGATTAGCCCATGGATCACCTAGCAAGCTAATGATAGAACTAGAAATAACATTCAGGGCTCCTGACTCCCCTGATTCTACAAGACACACTAGGGTCTGAGAAGCCCTCCCTACTTTGTCTTCAGAGAGACTTGGGCTAGGGGGGAAGGGCCTTATTCATTCCTACAGGGATCCTCTTCACACCCCCCCCCCCCCCACTACCTGGAAACTGCTCTGAGTCCCAGCCATTTCTCAACGGGCTGGCACTCCTCTTTGCCCACCCCCACCCCTCTTCTTGACATTCTGGCCATATGGGTGGATGGAGGGGGAAGGGGAGAAAGAAACTAGGCAGAGGGAACTAGGTTGTCCCCACTGCTCTTCCCCAAGAACCCCTTGAGTCCATACTGAGCCCTAGGGAGGACCCAGCCTATCCAGGCGAGAGTTGATGTGCTGGGACCCCTGCTAGGGGAGAGAACAGGTAATGGAATGCCTGGTATACGTGTGTTTGCCCAAACCCTCCAACTTCTCTGCTCTTAAGGGGCCCTTGTCTGTCAGCACCATCCCTCCCCCAGGACTAGGGACAGAAGGAGAGAGACAGAGACAGAGACAGAGACAGAGAGGGAGAGAGAGTTGAATTGGACTTCTTCTTCCTGGGGTTTTGGCTGGAATGTGGAAGTCCTTGTATAAGAATGTCAGGACTGAGATTAGTTAGGCAGGGCCAGGACAAGTGGTAATGTCTGTGGTACAGTGAAAAGGACTGGATATTTCTGAGGTCCTAGCTCTCGTTCACACTCTGGTCATTATTTACTAGCTGTGTGACCCCAGGGAAGTCACGAAACCTTTCTGGGCCTCAGCTTCCCCATCTATAAAATGAGGTTGGCCCAAGTGTCCCTTCCGGTTCTAAATCTGTGCTCTCCACCTAGCAAAGGGAGGAAACCCACCCTCATTCTGCGTACCCAGCTGTCCATCCGCGTCCATGCCATCCTAGGTGAGTCCCTGCCCTCACCCCCCAGCCGCTCCCGTCACAATTCTCCAGGGCTCTTCTCCATTTCCTGGGAAGGAGGGAGTGGGGAGCCTGAGCCAGGCAGATAAGAGGCAGGATGTGCCTGTGTGGGCCATCCCCAGCTACAGCTCTGTCCTTCCTCAGGACATAGCTGACCTACGAGTTGGGGGTAGGGAGTCACTCCAGGAATTGAGAGAGAGTGAAGACAGCAGGCCTTGGGGAGGGTGGGAGGGTGGATGCAGGGATGGGGGAGTTGCCCCGGGAGCTGTGTAAGGGTGAATTTGTGGTCAACTTACTGTGTAGCCAAGATAGAGGTGGGAGGGTGTGAGCCTGAATAACTATTCCAGGTTCACTGTGTACTCTTGAGAGGGGAAGGGAAGGTCTGTGCCTGACATCCTGTCCTCCTGGGTGGGAGTGGGGCCCGAGGCTGTACCCGAGTGAGCTGAGCCCTACTTACCACGTTTGTCCTCTGCAGAGAAGCTATATAGATCCAGCGGCCCTGAGCTACGACGCTCACTCTTCTCCCTGAAGCAGATCTTCCAGGTGAGGGGATCACTGGGAGGCCAGCCTGGGAGGGAGCACCTGGAGGTGCTCCCCGCTGAGCTCCTTCCCCACTGCCTCTGTAGGAAGACAAGGACCTGGTACCGGAGTTTGTGCACTCAGAGGGCCTAAGCTGTCTGATCCGAGTGGGGGCCGCTGCGGACCATAACTACCAGAGCTATATTCTCCGAGGTTGGTCTAGGCCTGAGCTGGCCCTTTCTGTCCTTCCTGCCCCTCTCCCACCATGGCCTCATTCCAGGGGTGGTGCTGTCTCCCACCCAGCCCCCATCGCTTTGATTTTTAAAGCCCTTTGTAACCTGGCCCCTTCCTCTCTTCCTAGTCTTACACGTTACTCTCCAGAGACACTGACCTCCTCACTCTTCTTCACACACATTACTTATCTCCCAACTCTAGACCTTTGCATAGACTGTATACCATGCATGCAATACTTTCCCTTCTACTCTCTGCCTCCTGGCATCCTTTAAGACTCGGTTCGAATCCCACCTTCTGCAAGAGGCCGTTTCCTGGTTCCCTCTGCACACCACACCTGTCCCCATGCCTTCCTTCTGGTGATAGTATACCATCAATTTACCCTGTGTGTACCATAGATGTACATAACTGTTTGCAGGTTATCTCTCCCATTAGACTCCTTGAGGGCAGGAACCCTGTTTTTGCCTTTCTTTGTGTCTCTGGTGCTTAGCACGGTGCCTGGCACATAGGAAATGCTTAATAAATACTTGTTGATGGCTGGCTGGCTGGGGCTCTGGCCCTTGTCATGCTGACGCCAGCCCCCCATCCCTCCTCCAGCCCTGGGCCAGGTGATGCTCTTCGTGGATGGGATGCTGGGTATGGTGGAACACAGTGAAACTGTGCAGTGGCTCTACACCCTCTGTGCCAGCATGGTGAGTAAACCTGCCCTTTCTCACTTCTCTGCTTTTGGAGGCTGCCAGCACTGAACGATGTAAGTAACTACAGTGTAGTTAAAGGGCTGGGGGGTGGGGAGGCGAGGTGATGAGGGATATCAGGAACTTCAGGTTCTAATTCGGCTTCTGGCACTAACTCTGTGACCTTGAACAACTCATTCCCCTCCAAAACCCCACTCTGCCTCAGTTTCCTCATTTGTAAAATCAATCAGCAAACATTTAAGCACTCATTATATGCCAAGCACTGTGCTAAGTTCTAGGTATGCAAATACAAACAAAAAAGAAAAAAAGTCTCTCCCCTCCGGAAACTTACGTTCTGGTGGAGGAAGACGATACGTTAAAGGGAGGAAGGAAGAAATACTGAAAGGGAATCATGAAAGGCCCCTGGCTTGCTTCTTCTTGGGACCTCCACCTCTTGTATCCAACGTGCTTCCCTTCACTCTAGCTGATCGATGCCATCTGGTTTGGAAGTGTCCAGTGCTAACAAGACGAGGGTTCTCCAGCATCACATCCGTCCGTACCACTCCCTCTGAGAATGGCCCAAGTGCCCTGCTCCTCCCAGACGTCCACAACCACATCCATGAACATCACTGATTTGGGAGGTGGGAGGGTCCAAGCAGTCAGGAGAACAGGGGGCCATTCCTTCCTCTTCAATCATCCCCCCCCCAAAAAAGAGAAGGGTCCTCATAAGGCAGACCTCCAGTTCAGGCCCTTTCCAGCTGCAATATCCAATGTTCTCTATGGAATTCTAAGGACTCTCCCAACTCCAACATGCTATGTTCAGTTCAAGGCAATGAAGAAACTGTAAAATTTGACACTTTGCCCTCAAGGGACTTGTTATGTGTATTCCAATCATTTGTGTAAAAGGTAGAATGTAGTAGAAGAAAAGGAGAAAACTAAGCAAAGTGCTCTAAAAATCTCTAGAGTAAAGGGAAAGCACTTTGAGCTGGGGGAATGGAGGAAGCCTTCCTGATGGAAGAGGTGACGTCCGACCAAGCCTCAGAGCAAGAGAAGGGATCCAGCAGGCAGAGATGAGGAGGAAATGCCTTCTAGGCAGGAGAGTTGTGCGTAGATGTACAAAGGTGATTGAGGACCGGACAAGATCAAGGACCAGCTGGTGGCCCAATATGATTGGTACAAGGAGTGTGTGAAAGAGAATTGTATGAAATAAGGCTGGGATGGTTAATTGGGTCGGAGTTGTCAGGCTAACGAGCTTACATTTTATTCTGAAGAGAATCCACTGAAGAGGAGGGACGTGGTCATACTTATAGATCAGGAAAGTTATTTTGGTTGTTGGGTGGAGGATTGCCTGCCAAGAGGGGAGGCTGAGACAGGGAGACCAGTGTAATCCAGGACTAATCCAGGAGACAGCTGATGAGGGCCTGATCTAGGATGACGGGGCAAGTGAGTACAGAGAAGGAGACACACTTGAGACATGTGGAATTAGATAGTGTTTGTGACTGCTGGCCACCCCTTCCTCCTGGCTGTTCTTTCTTACCTTGGCCTCTGGGACCCTTTTCTCCTCAGATTCTTATCTGTCACACCACTCCTTCTTGGCCTCCCATGCTAGTTTTCGGGGCCCCTTCCAATCCCCTAATCTCAGGTATCCACCCAGGCTCTGGCCTTCTTCCTCTTCTCTCCTCCATCCAGCTTCTCTCCACTAGTGATCTCATCTGTTCTCACTGATTCTCATCTCTGCCCAGATGACTCCCAAATCTACATATCCACGCCAAATCTCTCTTGAGCCCCAGGCCTGCAGATCCCAATGGTGTGCTGGACATTCCCAGCTGCAGGTCTGCGTAGCACCCTAAGCACGACCACAATGGAATTCATCCTATTTACCCCTAAGCCTGCCTCTCCTTCCAATTTCCCTGTGTGGACTGAGGACACCATCATCTTCTCAGTCACCTGCACTCAAGGCCTTGACATCATCCTTGATTCTTTCCTCTCCTCTCCCAATCAATTACCAAGTCTTAGTGATTTTACCTCCACATCTGTCAAATCTGTTTCCTTCTCTCCACTTATATTGCCAACTCTAAGTGTTAAAGGAAGTCAGTCACTGTCGAACACTTATAGTGCTAAGGGCTCAGTTAAGATGAATAACCTGGGTGGCAGCTAGGTGGAGCAGTGGATAGAGCACCAGCCCTGAAGTCAGGAGGACCTGAGTTCAAATCCGGCCTCAGACCAAACACTTCACACTTACTAGCTGTGTGACCCTGGGCAAGTCACTTAACCCCAAATGCCTAAAAAGTTTAAAAAAAAAAAAGATGAATAACCTGAATTTGTAGTGGACCTTGTCAGTACTGTCTTCTAGCATCCTCCAGCAGTATTTAAGTAGGTCCTGGCTGGTGTCAACAGCAGACACAAACTGACTGTAACTTTTGCATGTGAATTTTTAAAATCTCCCTCAGCATGAAACATAAATGCAAAAATGATCCATTTTAATAAATATTTGAGGTCAGGGGTGGTGAACCTGTGGCCTCAAGGCCACATGTGGCTCTCTAGGTCCTTAAGTGTGGCTCTTTGACTGAACAATTTGTTTGGTGAAGTTTGGATTCAGTCAAAGGGCCACACTTGAGGGCCTCAAGGCCACGTCTCACCACTGTTTTAGGTATTTAAATTTTTAAAAAAAAATTGTTATTCAGTCATTTCAATTGTGTCTGAATCTTCGTGACCCCATTTGGGGTTTTCTTGGCAAAGATAATGGAGTGATTTGCCATTTCCTTCTCCAGCTCATTAAGAAACGGAGGGGAGGCAAACAAGGTTAAATGGCTAAGAAGTGTCTGAGTCTGGGTTTGAACTCAGAAAGACGAGTCTTTCTATCCACTGTGCCACATAGCTGCCTGATATCAAAAACATAGTTTAGGAATAAATAGAAAAGGTAGATGATAGATGGTGGTAGGGACCTAGGATTGAGGATTAATAGTCCATGAAGAACAGAGAAGAAGGGAGATGGGGAATTCAAGGGTGGAAGACAGTGAGCCTTATTGAGCTGGCTAACTGTAAGTGAAAAGTGTGAAGGAAGGAAAATGAATCCAGAAGAGAAGCCTGGGAATACAGAGAAAGATGGTGGGACTGAAGGTTGTAGGTAAAAGCATGAGTCCAGGAGGAGTGAGCCAGAGAGGTTAGGGTCAGAGGGAAATTTCAGGGTTCAAAATCTTGGGAGGTACAACAGTTTCAGATGCTGGTGACCTTTCTGCTACATTCGACCATGTTGAGCACCCTCTTCTGAATACTTTTCCCTTGGATTTCCTTCCGTTGCTCCTCCTGGTTCTTTCCTTACCTGTCTAATTACCCCTCAGTCTTCTTTGTTAGTTCATTGGCCAGATCATGCACCCTAAATGTGGATGTTCCCCAAGACTCTGTCCTAGACCCCCTACTCTTTTGTCTTGGTGACCTCATCCTCTCCCACGGGTTTGGTTATCATTTTTATGCGAATGACTCCTGGATCTACTTCTTCAGCCCCAGTCTCTCTCCTACGTGTCAGTCCAGCATCAACGACTGCCCCTTAGACATTTCAAACCAGGTGTCCCAGAAACATCTCAAACCCAATGTGTCCAAAACAGAACTCATTCTTTTTCCCCCTAAACCTACCCCTCTTCCATACTTCCTTATTTCTGCTGAAGACACCATTGTTTTTCCAGTCTTTGAGCTTTATAACCTTACCTTGATCCCATATTTTTCACTTTCCCTTATCTCATATATCCAATCATTGACAAATCTGGTTGTTAGGCCTTCCATAGCATCTTTCATCTGACCCCTTCTCTCCACTCACACACAGCCACCACCTTAGTTCAGGCCCTCTTCGCCTCTCACCTAGATGGTCCCTGTCTCAAGTCTTTCCCTACTTCAATCCATCCTTCAGACTGCTGCCAAAATGATTTTCCTTAATGGCAAGTCTGACCCCTATTCAATAAGCTCCCATGACTTCCCTTTGCTTCTAGAATCAAATATAATAAATTTCTCTGCTTGGCATTTAAGGACCTTCACAACCTGCTCCCAAACTCTCTTTCCAGCCCCATTGTACAATATTCCCCACTCCTGCATTCTTCAGTCCAGCCAAAGGGATTTTCTCGCTGTTCCTCACATGGAACACTTCATGTCTTGCCCTCTTGCCTTTACACTGGCTCTGCCCTATGCCTGGCATGCCCTTCCTCTTCACCTCCAGCTCCTTCAAGACACTGCCTTCTACCCAAAGCCTTTTCTGATCCCACCAAACTACTTTTGTGCCCATTCTCTTGATGTTGCATCCATTCTTCTACCTGCCCTTGTCTCCTGTGTTAGAACCCCTTCTATTCCCACCTTAGCCCAGTGGCTTCACAAATGCTTGGAGAACAGAGTTTTTTGCAGAGACTATCACCAGGCACCTTCTCGGTGCATCACTTAATTCACATTACATGACCTAGTAGAATCATTCTGGAGGACCAGTGATCTCACAACACACCATACTTCGGAATCTTTCTTCTGGGTGACATGGGAACCAGCTTTCTGAAAGAATATTTATACCTTTTTTAACGAAAAAAGAATTCACACCTTAACAAGACACTACCAGCACTAAGTTTACAGATTATGAAAACACTTCACAGTTTCATGTAGCTGAATAGCATTTGTCTCTTTGCTGCGATTTCACAAGACAGATTAATAAATGTAATAGTGATATAGATGTCACTTTCCTGGCACCAAAAAAACAAAAACAGAAACAAAAAAACATCAAATGCTTGGAGAATGATGCCAACCATACTTCTCGAGGACTGGTGATGAAACAGGCTGCTCACTTCCTCTTGGAGAGGGGAGTGCAGACTGAGACATATTTTTATGGAGATAGCCAATGCAGGAATTTGTTTACCTGACTATAAGTATTTATAACAGGGGTTTTGTTTTTCTTGCTTCCAATTGGGGATGGAGGAGGGAGTGGGGAGAAAATTTGGAACTGAAAATAAAATTAAGCTTTAAAAAGTGGATAGAGTTGCAGACTTGGAGTCAGGAGGACCTGAGTTCAAATCCCACCTCAGACACTTGACAATTACTAGCTGTGTGACCCTAGGCAAGTCACTTAACCCCGATTGCCTCCCCACTCCCCCCCAAAAAAAATTTCTAATAGCAAAAGAAAAAAATGCTTGTTGGTTTGACTTATGTGTAGAGATTTTTATTTTTATTTTTATTTATTGTATTTGTAGCCTTAGTACTTACCAGAGGGTCTTGGCACATAGCCGGTGCTTAGTAAATCCTTGTTGATCGATTGGTTGATTAATCTGAGGTCTGACTACTCCAATGAGTGACAGAGGTGAAATGGAGATAGATAACAAGAGTTGTTCTAAGGTCCCTTCTAACTCTGACTGGTTTAGATTCTGAAAAAGAAAACATGGCACTATCCTAACTACCATCTCAGTGATGTCACAACACTGATATTCTCTTTCCTGTCCTTGGGTGAAGAACAGAAGAATTTCTCCATATACTTGACCTCTTAGAGACATCCCTCAAGGGACATACCCCTAGAGAGAAAGCCTCATTCCAGAGAAGGACATCTCCCTTCCCAGGCTTCTCTTATAAAACATTCCCTGCCTTCATCCTCTGCTTCTATATGAGAAGCCCCTTTAGTCCCCAAAGCAGGCCTGAGATCCCCTTTCCCCTAACCCCCTCCTTAAGGGGTGCTACCAGGAAACCATGTGACCCTACTCACTAGACACCTGCTCAGTCTTGCCTGAGCTCCTCGTTCCCATGACTCCCTGACTAAGAGATGCTACCATAAATAATATGACTTTACTTACTGGACACCTCCTTCTCCCCAGTCTCGCCTGGTGGTGAAGACATCCCTGAAGCTTCTTCTGGTATTTGTGGAATATGCAGAAACTAATGCCCGGCTCTTCATCCATGCTGTCAACACTGTTGCCAATGCCACTGGTCAGATACCCTTCCCTCTCTCCTTTTTCCCCTCCTTGCTGCTGCCCCCATGCCCTCGTTTTGTGCCCTCTCTGCCTTCTCACGTACCTCTCTTCTCCCCTATTCCATAGGTGCCTACCCATGGGCCACCTTTGTGTCCATCCTGGAAGAGAAGAACGGAGCTGACCCAGAGCTGCTGGTGTTCACCATGACCCTGATCAACAAGGTGCCTGAGGGTGGGGGAAGAGCAGAGGTACTCATGGCCCTTAGGGTCCCCCCCTTCCATACACATCCATGTGCCAGCACACAACCCATAGTGGCCACATTTTCAGGTCTCAAAACCCTTTATGGTAGCTGAGGGCCCAGTCTCACCTTCAGTATGGTGCTCACAGATGCTGGCAGCTCTTCCTGACCAGGACTCATTCTATGATGTCACCGATGCATTGGAGCAACAGGGCATGGAGGGCATTGTGCAGAAGCACCTGGGAAGCCCAGGCACAGACGCTGACCTCAGGGCGCAGCTTGTCCTCTATGAGGTAAGGATCCCAGAACTGGAGTGTCAGGGGGTCAAGGGCATCAAAATTCCCAGGTTTCCTTCCTCACTTCTGCCTCTTCTCTTTCTCCAGAGTGCCCTGCGACTAGAAGATGGTGAAGAAGAGGGGGTACCAGGTGGGCGGCGGGAGCGCAGGAAGCCAGCATCAGAGGAGGGAAAGAGGAGCCGCCGTTCCCTGGAGGGGGCAGGGTCTGGCATCAGCTCCCCTGCTAGGGCAAGCTGCCCGATCCTGCCCCCCTCCAAGCCTCCTGCGGATGCTCACCCTCGGTAAGTTAGAGTCATTGTCAGTCAGTAAGCATTAATAAGGTGTATTAAGTGCGTACTACATGCCAAGCACTCCATGTCTCAGTGTGCCTGGAATACTCTCCCTCTGTACCTCCACTTACTAGCTTCTGTGGCTTCCTTTAAGTCCAAACTAAAATCTCCATTTTCTACAAGAAGCCTTATTCTAGTGCCTTCCCTCTCTTAATTATTTCCTATTTAGCTTGTATTTAACGTGTTTGTGCCTATTTTGTTTGCTTGTTT